ATACTCCAATATGTCATGTTGCCCACCAGTCCAGATAAAATCCATGCTGATAAAACAATGCCCTTTGGCCGCCTTCAGGCTCACCACTGGAAAGCATAGTCCACTGATTTGTCACCCTGGGCTAAATATAAAAGAATTGTAGCCTGAGTCAGAAGCTATTTTCAGCACCCTTTCTTACTTTGCAGCCGTTCAGGGATGCTGGTCTTGAGGGCCACCTTCCTGGAGGCTGAAGTCAGCCCTAGGGGCCCCCATATTCTAGAAACTGCCCAACCTCTCTCTCAGGGGAAATCATCTCCTCAATACCCCCTGACTGATGCTCCAACACCCCCAAACCCACTAGCTTTCAGCTGCTTTTTCTGACCTCTAGGTCCCTTCCCCGGGTGAGGTTTCCTCTCTCAAAAGCCCCAGCGGTGAGGAGAGAGGCATGAAGAAACACACCAGTATTTAGTAAGAGCCTGCTAAGTGTTGGGCCCTGAAATTTATGAATCTTTATGAAACCCTTCCCAGAAAAATCATATTAAAAGGAAACTAAGACTGAGATGGCCAAGTGACTGGCTCAGGGCCCCATGAGCAAGGTTTGAGAAGCCAGTGCTTTGTGATGCTGTGTGACCCTCCTCTTACTCCACAATGTCGCTTAGCCCCAGAAACTGTCTCTGTGTGAAGGGAGGTGAGTGATATGCATGTACGTCCTCTGAGAACCCTAAGCTGTCTCTGAGACAAGAGCCCCACCCTTTGTGGACATACACACGTTCCCTGACTTACAGTGGGCTTAGATCCTGATAAACCCATGGTAAACTGAAAATACCATAAATGGAAAATGCATTTACTACACCTACCCTGCTGTAAATCACAGCTTAGCCGAGCCTACCTGCAATGTGCTCACAACACATTAGCCTGCAGTTGAGCTAAATCATCTAACACAAAGCCTATTTTATAATAAAGTCCTGGATAGCTCATGTAATTTGTTGAACACTATACTGAAAGTCAAAAACAGAATGGTTGTGTGGGCAAAGTACAGTTTCTACTATGCATATCACTTCCCCACCACTGTAAAGCTGAAAAGTAGCACTGTCCTACGTGGAAAACCCCTATACTGAGCACCACCATCACCCAACGTACGTTTCAATGACATTTTATTCACTTGCTGCCTAGGGACCAAGAAGCATGTTTCATGCCTCCTTACAAATGCAATGAGCCCAGCACAGTGCCTGGCATAAGAAAAACCTCAGTCAACATCTTACCACTTTTCATGCTAGGGACTACTTAAGTATCTGGTGAAGCCAATAGATCCCTTCTCAGAGTCAAGCTTTCAAAAGCATGAAAGAAATACAAAAGAGTTCAAATGAAAGTGATTTTGTTGGAAAAGTTGTCAAAATATTTTAACATGGCATTTGTGACTTAGTGATGAATGTGCTTCTGCATTTAAGCATTCAATAACAAGATCTGGTGATGTGGCGTTGTGACTGTCCTTTCCAAATAGTGAGGAACAGAGAGAATATTTCAAAACATCTGCAGGAAATGAATGTGATAGGGAAATATCTGCAGGAACTGCTAATACTAGTTTTACTCAAGTAAAACTGCCAGGGTTGCACTAGTTTTGATCAACAAAAAACAGCAATTTCGCATAGTTTTGTTTGTTGCCTGCACTCCTTGAAGGAATTGCTCAATTTCAGGTAGAGGTGAATAAAAATGAAGGTTATTATTTTTCCCTATCCAAGTTCATGGACCTCTTGAATTATACCAGGATCCTTTGTGGGATGACGCGTAACAGCTTCTCGGCTGTGACTCAGACGGGTACCGCAGGGTAGAGAGGGTCGCCCCTTCCCACCCGGGATCTGCCTGCGCCTCCGCCAAGCAGCTAACCAGCTTCGGTCTCTCTTCCCCACAGGCTCCCTGTTCCCGCAGCTGAAGCCATCGGAAGGTGTCTTCAAAGTCATCTTCTGGCTAGGCTACTTCAACAGTTGCGTGAACCCGCTCATCTACCCTTGTTCCAGCCGGGAGTTCAAGCGCGCCTTCCTCCGCCTCCTGCGCTGCCAGTGTCGGCGTCGCCGGCGCCGCCGCCCGCTCTGGCGCGTCTACGGCCACCACTGGCGGGCCTCCACCGGTGACTTGCGCCTCGATTGCATCCCTGGCCCGGGCGCCGCGCCGCCTGGGGCCCCGCTGGCCCTCACCGCGCCTCCAGACCCCAACCCCGACCCCCCCGGCACGCCCGAGGTACAGGCTGCGGTCACCAGCCGGCGAAAGCCGCCTTGCGCCTTCCGCGAGTGGAGGCTGCTCGGGCCGTTCCGGAGACCCACCACCCAGCTGCGTGCCAAGGTCTCCAGCCTGTCGCAAAAGATCCGCGCCGGGAGCGCGCAGCGCGCAGAGGTGCGCTCGGAGGTGGAGGCTGTGTGCCTGGGTGTCCCCCACGACATGGGCGAGGGCGCCACCTGCCAGGCCTACGACGACTACGGCAACCTCCGAGAGACTGACATTTGAGGACTCCTGAGCTAGGCGCCCCAGCTGAGCTGGGGAAGGAGGGAGGTTGGCTGTGTTCAAGAGGCTGGTAGAAATCCGGGACCCAGAAACAGATCAGGGTAGATGCCTGTGGCATCCTGGAAGATCGGGGTTAGCTGCTTGGGGAGCAGGAGGTGCGGGCAGATTCTGGGTGGGGCGGGGCTTGGGGCTGGAACGCCTGAAGGTAGTACAGTGGGGTCCCTCCAGGAGCCTGGCACCTGGAGCTCTTTCCTTAGGAAGGAGGAGCTGTGGGCTCCGTAGGGCCCTTTGCGCTCAATTCCTGTTTAAGAACCACCCCCCATCCACCAAGCCCTGAACCCTGAACAGACAGCCCCAAATTTGGCCAGGAAAACCTGCCCCTGCCCTTCGGGGAGTAGGCACAGAAGCCCCAGAGCCTCTCCTAGGGAAAAAGGCGGTGGGGCCAGGACTCCTCAGTGGACATAATTACTCCTTACTGCCGACTGGAGGAACCCAGTGGACCTGCTACCACCACCCACAAGCTTTGGTGGCAGACTGGATGGCCGTCACAAGCTTGTTGTATTTACCCCCGGGTTCACAGCCCCCTACCCAGGCGCCTCCATGCACACCCCATCACCTGGCCCTGCCCCTCGTTACTTCCCCTCAAGGGCCTTACTGTTTACACTTTGTACATAGCTCATTGTGCCTGTGCCCATCACTTCTTGCTGGATTCCAAGCCACCAACTGGGTGAGGCTTTATCTGTCATTTTGAGACATATTTATTGGTAAGAGTACCTCTATTTTTGTCCAAACTGTGCAGACTGTCCCTCTTTAGCTCATAACAGATAAAGAAGTACTTTTTCCCCTCTAAAATCCTTCAAGTACTAAATGCCCACAACAGGATAGATTGGCTCTGCGTTCACCTTTCTAATTTCAACTTAACTAGCTTTTTAACTGATGGTTGCTGTCCCTTAGGACTAAGAGTATGACCAAAGGACTTGGAGGTTTTGTTGGCTTTTAAAATTCACATGATCGGGCTTAGGAATCAAATAGTAGTCATAAGCACAAATTTTCCCTCTGTCAGTCTCCCCAGAGACATCTGTGATTCTCTGAGGACCCCAGTGAAAAAGGCAGCCATCAGTTAAATGTGTGAAACATTACATGAAAAAGTATATGAGTAAATAGGTATACATGGCTAGTAAAAGGCCCATACCTAGGAACCATGCTTGTTAGCTTTGAGTAAAATGCCATGTTTCAATGGGATTGCAGGCAATTGAGTCTTCAGCTGAATATGAACCATATACAGTACATCCAACTAGCATAGGAGTAATGGCTGTGGCCCAGTGGACCCGTGGAATGAGAGTGGATTAAGCAATGACCTGGGGTGTCTGGAGGTGCTCTGAAACTGGACGAGTTAGCTGCTGGGGCCAACATGAGCCAGTATTTTGAGGCAAAAGTTCTCATCCTGTATTAGGGTGGTAGTCTGTTTGAAATGTCATGGCATTTTCAGGCCAGTCGCCCAAATTGTATAAGGTTAAAAAGGCATCCAAGGCCAAGTGTGGTAGCTTACACCTGTAACCCAAAACTTTGGGAGGCTGAGGCAGGTGGGTTGCTTGAGCTCAGGAGTTCAGGAACAGCCTGAGCAAGGCTGAGACCCCATCTCTACTAAAAATAAAAAAACTAGCTAGACATTATGGCATCACAGCCTGGACACAGAGATTTCATACAGCAGCTCTACAATAGGTTCTGGGCCTTCAGGCCTGGCCCCCCAAAGGGCAATTCATGGCAGTCTAGGAGAAAGCAAGTTGGATCCAAAGAAGATCTCACTTTGTAGCACATAGGTTGCCCTAAAGCTGGCAATGGTGGGGAACAGCCCTTACTGTCACTGACAAAGGGACAGAGGTAGGGGCCATTGGTCAAAATAGCAGTCAATGAGGTGGGAGACCCCCAGTGTCAAAGAACTGAATGTTGGGTAGGGGTGAACCAGACTTGCTTCAACAGCAGGCTTGGGTTTGGGAAGGGTCTCTGAGCAGGGAGAATGTTCAGCCCACAGGAGTTCAAGTGGGGATGGGAGGTAAAAAGGGAGCCTTCATCAGGAGATTTGGGGGCCTCCATGGCCTGGATAATATAGTGAGAATAGAGGCAGAAGGCCAAAATCTTGCCCTATACTTGCTCTACGCACAGTGATCAGTCTGCAAAACAGATCTGATGTTCAAGCCTCAGTCCTGTCTCCTGGGCTGTGGGCCCTGTGCACACAGCTGCCCCTGCCTGTACTCCCACCCCAGGAGGTGTGGGAGGGCTGCAGAGCCCCCAGAGAGGCATCCAGGGACCTTGTTCTAATTATCAATAAAGCACTGTGCTGCCGACCTTGGTCTTAGGACATGGCAAAGGGCCACAGAGTGACCAAAAAGAATATAACAAGCAGCCACAGTCTTTCTAGAAGAGGGAGCCTCCTGCGAGTGATTTCAGAGAAATCTGGCAGAAATGCATTCACTGTGCCATCTCCTGGGCCCTCGGGTACCTCAGCCCCCAGCCCAGCCCACACATTGGTTAGAGACACTATCCCTGAGACCTGTGTAAAAACTGTGGCTGTGGTGTCCAAGGAGCAGGACTTTCTCGACACAATCCTTAAGGGATGGGGTGAGGCCTAAGGGAGTGTATAAATGGGGAAGAGGTGGTCCTATGAGACATGAAGAGGACAGAAGCAAGCCTCCATGACACTGACATTCACCCAAGTGCCCCCCCCATCCTTAAAAAGCCTCACTGCTGCTTCCCACCCAGTCTGCCCTCTTTCTTGAGCTGGGCTGGTGCCACCCACCTTGCCTTGCTTCCCACACTCTTCCCAGGACCTCTGTCCCCAGCATCCCCAGAGCTGCTTTTACAAGTCACCTGGGACCTTCCATTTCCATGGTCTCCTCCCCTCTGTCTCTGCAGCAGTTCACACTGGTGGCCACCCCCTGTTTCCTGAAATGTCCCCTCCCTGCCTGTGGGCCACACTCCTGGGATCTCTCCTGATCTTCTGACCTGCTGACCACACTCTCTCTCTGCCTCCTCCACAGGCCTCTCACTCCACCCTTAAATGCTCCCCAGGGGTTATTCCTCCTTTTCTGCACTCTCCACAAAATCCCTTTTACTGCGAATCATCTCAACAGCCACTTGTACATAAATGACTCCCAAGGGGCTGTCTCCAGCTCCAGATGTGTTTGCCCTCCCCCAGTGATCTCTAGACACCCCAAACACAAGCCCCAAGGCCACTTGCCTCCTGCAATGTGCAGCTGCCTACTCTACTCCACTCAGGCACAAAGATGCCACCAGTACTGACACTTCAGGCCCCAGAGGCCCCTGAGCCTGCCCCACCCTGTCCATTCCCCATTTTCCTGATTCATCATCATCCTTCTCCCGTTCAGAGATCCCCTGAGCTGGACCAAGCCTCACACGTCCTGCAGCCTCTCTGGTAGCGTGCACCCAGGTTATCCTGGGTTCAAGTCCAAAGACAGAACCTACATCTCATCCACCACAGGGGACAGGGCTCTCTGTCCCCAGAGATGGTCAGGGCTGGGCTTGCACATTTATTAAATACTGGATCTGAGAAGTTGGCCCTTCCCTATCGCCCACCTGGTGGCTGGCTTGATGTCACCATCCTTACAAGGTCCTTAGCTCCACAGGTCCCTCCAGTCTTGCAACCAGAGAACCAACTGTGTCCAGGCTGTGGCAGAAACACCGGCTCTACAGTGCCCTCCCACCCCATCCCCACAGCCCTGTACCAGGAGTCCTTAGTCCTTCCCCCTTCAGGTACTAACAGGCCCTGGGGAAATATCTGGGACCTTGGACCCTCTCCCCTCAGTGACCTGTCCAAGCTCATACTCCTCAGAGCCCTCCTACCCCTGCTCCTATTCCCATCCTACCACATGCCCAGGGTTACATGTTCACCGGCCACTTGGAAAGAATTTCCTTTTTTTGTTTCTTCTTATGGCTCCAGTAAAGCATAAAACCAGATGCCTGTAAAGGCTAAACTGGTCACAGCCTCTCTGCTGGCTCTCCAGGGAGCCCGAGGAGGTGCTGGGGGTGGAGCCTTTGGGAAGGGGGGATTTGTGTTTCTTCCCTTCCCCCACTCCTGCCCCTGTGGGGAGCAGGGAAGCAAAGGGAATGCCAGACAGGATCCCGGCCTACGTGCTCTGGTCCAGGGAGGGACCAAGTGGAAATAGGAGGGTGCACTTGGAATCAAGAGGAAAGCCAGGAGCTGGCGCTACTCCAGGCTGGGCTTTCAAAGCCGGGGGTCAGGTGCCTTGGAGGACTTGCAAGCACCTCGGTTTCAACATTTCTTCTAAGACGTTTCGTCCAGGACTCACCATTCTTGTGACTCCCATACTGTGTTTGTCTACCTCTTCCAGCCCTGCTAGAATCCAGACAAGGAACCTCAGCTCCTTTTCTTGAGAGAGGGAATCAGATTGGTTCCGCTCATCCTTGGAGCCAAGCCATAAAGGTCATGGGTCACTGGCCAGCCGGAGATTGGCTAACTTGGTCCAGTCTGAGTGGGCAGAGGGGAGTGAGCTGGCTAAATGGGACAAAACACATGGTATGGGCACACTGCCGTCTGGGTACCACATCTGGGACGGGCAGGGGACAGATAATGATGGACACCTCCAGCCCACAAGGCTTGTCAAAAACACAGCTGCAAGCAATAAGGAAGCTGATCAATAGCTACATGAACCTGGGGCATCTTTTGTCTCACTTGACAAGTTACAAGATAGGTGGTGGCTGGTGTTGCCAACAGAGGACCCAAGCTCGCTCAATAGGCCTCAGAATCTTTTCTGTGCTGGTTTGTCCTCTTTGTTGCCCATCATGATCCATGGTGCCAAAAGTCATGTTCTTGTACAAGGCTGAGAAGGGAGAAGGGTAGCACCTGCCTCCTTTCCTCAGACAGCAAAAGCTTGCCCAGAACCCCTCCCCCAGCACGCCTCCACCCAGAGTCTTCTGAGCCAGAATTTGGGTGGCATGTCCACCATGCTGGGGAGACTGATAAAACAGGAAACAAGATGGTGTGGTTGGCTCTGAGCAGGGGGCCCCTCCTGATTTAGTACAGCCCACAAACTAAGAATAGGTTTTACATTTTTAAATGATTGGGGGGAAAGTCAAAAGTTATTACATAATATCTCCAAGTTTAC